TAGCTGGAAATACTCTGTGGAGATTATGTTGAATGAATTAATATTGTTAAAAAAAATATATATAGGGAAGACTTAAATGTAAATAATTTTATAATTTCCTGTTACCTGTTTTATAAGATAAATATAGTGTCTATAAAAATTTGATCAAATCCAATTTAAACATTTTGCTATAATTATCTGATTGAAATATCAAATTAAATATTTTTTTGCACATAAACAGTTGCACCTCCTGACAATGAATTACAGTTTTAATAGGCTATAAACTCTGTATACTGATTTTTCCTGCTGTAAAAACACAGGTGTGTATTATGCCTTTTGAGACTCTATAAAAATTAAATTATAAGAACAAGAGACAGTAAAATTTAGATTTCTGCCTTCTAATTTATATTTTAAAAATGATTTATTTTGCTTGATTTGCACTTTACGTATCTCTCCAGGTACAATGGGTTAAATGCTTTAGGTTATAAACATGATGACTGTTTGTTTTATTTTTATATCATTTCATTGATTGACTGGCTGTGTATTGAGAGCAAGGTTTGAAGGACTGGGTCATATAGAAGAACAGATGAGTCACCAGTTGATTTTTGGAGCTACTAGTTGCCATCGGTGGTATGGGTTGTTGCTGGCAGTGGGAGGAGTAGTATTTGAGATAAGGCAACATCATTGTATTGTTGTGGCTTTTATTACATTGGTTTTGTTTGTTGAAGCAACACACACACAAAACTTAAGCTTGCAGATATGAATAGATATTCCTAAAAACTAATAAACACATGCATTTTAATATACACACACACACACACATATATATATATATACACACACACACACACACACACATATATATATATATATATATCAAAATTTAAGTTTATATTTTGCATAAAAGCATTGCACAAAGATGTACATGTTTAGGCACCTAATGTAATGAAGGAATGACCTAACACACCTTACAGACTAATTTTCTTGTGCTAAAAGTTCAATCCATACTGGCCTTGTACCAAGCTAAGATATGCTTAGTAAAGTAGATAACTAGATATCCATTAACTTAAAGAAACACAAATGTATAAAGATGAAATAACAATGTTTATACACACACACACACACACACACACAGATATAGGTATGAAAAAGTTTACTTGTGATGTGTTTCATCCTTCAGGATTTCATTGGACTAAATTTGTTATCTGATGAAGTCTTGAAGGATGAAACATGTCACAAATAAACTTTTTCCAATTTGCCATACATTTTCCCCAATATTGTTCTTGATATATAAAAATATATTTGTGTTTCATTGAAAATAACTGACAAGACTGCCATTAAGCATTTTATTAAATTTTTCTTGCTTTCTTACAAGTATTTTCTTTTCTGGGCATAAAGTATATAAAAACTGTCCAAATTTTATTAGCCATTATCAAAGCTGATTTTGTAATTGAATATGTAGTTTTTCATATATATGTCTCTACAGGAATGATGATATTTTTTTTTATTTTCTGAACAACAATCAACACATTGTGCTCATGTTCATAGTTGATATTACTGAGAATTGAGTTATTTTTTTATATTAATACTTTGATTATTTTTAACTGTTTCTTACATGTTGATAAGGCAAATACGGTCATATCTTCCACAAGTATGTTGTGGACAGGGATGGGTAGCTCTATGATTATGTTTAAATAGGTCCTAATAGAGCTATGGTCTGAGAGATGTAAAGTAACACTTCTTGATTAGTATGTATAGAGAATGTTGATACGAAGTATGTTATATAAGAGTGTGTTATAACGATAGCCATAGAATAGTGGCGTTATAATACACATGTAATATTAGTTAGTCTGAATAACAAACAAAAGGGTAACAAGGAATATGACAAAAGCAGCCTGAGCCTTGCACATACAAGTAACACCATTTGTCTAATCATGGTAGCAAATGCTTTGTTTACATGAAATGTATAAAGTTTGCTACAGGAATACATTTTAATGTTGTAGTGAGTTCTGGAAAGGAAGAAAGATATGTGAAAGTTTACTTTTGAGCACAATGTGTTGAAAAGCTTTCTTCATACAGGTAGAAATGTAAAATAAATGATAAATATATAAAAGATGGCTAGATTAAACAAATGTTCATATAGTCATGTGATGATAATAATAATAATAGTCCAAATTAAAGAGAAAAGGCTGTCAAAGTTACATACCAGCGATAAGGAGGATGAGAAAACTAAGAACCACTTGCTTGGGCTGATGCTTTTACTTTGCTGGTGATAACTAAGGGCTAACAGGAAATGGTCAAAAAACGGGGACCAATCTGAAAGTACCTAAACTAAAAAAAAAAGGGACAAACAAAGGGTAGTAAAACAAGGCAGCTTATATACTGTGGTAACAGAACAAAGAATGAAAATGTTTTAAATAAAGCTGAAACAGTTTTTGATTGATCCCCAAAGAAATACACTTGAAGAGTATTATCACTATTATTAGAATATTACACACTTTTTGTTAGTTTTTGATGGACAATTTTTGTCAGTTGCTACTTTTAATTGGTTTAGATGGAAGCAATACTTGTTCAAATCATTCAGTGATTTTCTCTAGAAAGAGGTTATGTTAGAAGATTCACCATCAGTTCTGTTATTTACTCAGTGTCATCTTTGGTGTGGTTGGTGGTCATCCATTTTACTTGCTACTGTACAAAAATATGCCTATTAAAAGACCCCATAATCTCCATCAAGAAGATGAATTTCATAAGATCCAGCAATCTTTCGATTGCCATCCTAGAAGGAGGCAAATGAAGAAGAGGCTGATAGAGAAAAGAAAAGGTCATATGACATGAGTGGATTGAGAGATCATTTACAGAGACTTTGGCATGCAACTGAAACATGGACAGGGCTGGTCAGGTGCTTAGCTGCACAGTGACCCTATGGCCACATCTGGTCATAGGACTGATGGTAATGACGGTTATCTCCTGTATTTTATTAAATTATTTTCAAATAATGTCTTGACTTGATTGATATCAGTCTAAACTGGTCCACTTCACCATGGAGTATTATTTAGAGAAGTCTTTAGCATGAAACCTTTTCATAGGTTTGATTGTAGCTTCTCCAAAGATTTTCAAAATCCTTTTTCTCTGTGAGAGTTACTTCAAAAGCATATGCTAAAAATGTTGCTTATTTTCTTCCAGTTTCTGCATTAGAATCAATAAATAAAATTATGCCAATTTTGACATACTTTTGAATATATGCTACTATGGCAAATGTCACAATAGAATCAAAAGTGATCTTTTTTAATGAAATTACTTAAAACTTCCTTCTGAGCAATCATGTCTTTTTACAATTCATGACTGACTTTGCAGAAGAATTCCTGCAGTAGGCTGCCATTATTTTCTGGTATAGACTGGGAGTGTGGGACATTCCATTACATTCATGAGACTGGGAGTGTGGGACATTCCATTACAACACAATGTTGTATTTCCCTAAAACTAAACTAAAACTTTAAATGATCCTAAAACCACCTTCAAATCTAATCTATAATGATGAGGCATCTTTTTGAAAATAAAAAATTACTGAACATTGGCTTGTGAGTTTAGATTATCAACCATTGCTTTATAGTCGATATCCTTCTGTTTTAGAATCTTATTTATTGACACACACACACACACACAGATTTAATGGCTACTCTCCTACAGGGAAGTGACTGTGACATGAATATTGAGAATATTTTGAACAGAGAATGTGTCAAATGAAGTATTAAGGAGAATAAGAAACTGTTGCTAATAATCAGAGGGTGTTGAAATTTGGAGGAGAATACTGAGGGAAGAAAGCTTGGAAAAATTAACACTCACATGATGCATCAAATGCAAGGGAAACAGCAAATAGCTTACTTGGCAAGTTTGAGCAAATAGATGGAAGAACAAGTACGACAAAGTGAAAACAGGAGTTATAAAGAAGCAGGTGTTACTGATAGCAAGCTGTAGAGGTCCAGAATTTCTCCTGTCTTGAAGGGACTCAACATATACAGATAGATAAATCTTTTGATTTCATGAAAAGTTGAGGTGCAGATGACAAAACTGTTAAAAATATGGAAAATAGAATCTGTGGCCAGCTGTGAGTGCATTCACTTAGCATTAATAGTTCTGAGAAAAACATGAATCTTTTCTCTCCCAAGCTGTGAGTTAAATTGTAAGGCAGACTGAATTCTCTAGCCTTGATTGGCAACTAGTCTAGGAGAAAGACAACTCAATGTGCAATTGGATAGTTGGGCATGGGTCTAGCAAATGCATTTTATAAAAATCAAAATCTTACTAAACATGGAAACTACCACTACATTACTGGTGTCAAGTGACTGAAATTCTCTTTACCAGAACAAGTCTATATGAATAAATGGTAATAGCAATATTGTTTTCTTATAAGGAAATATTCAGCATTCATTGACTTAGTAGCCAGTATTACTTTCGGTAGAAATTTTAAAAATCTTAATCTTAAAACAGTTTTCAGGAAAATAGGTTTCAAAATGTTCAATAGCTGTTATTGCTCTTTCCAGTATTGATAGGGAGTCTTGATTGTGTCATTAGTCAAGTTATTTGTGCTCTTCATTTTAGTTATTGCTGTTGTTAAAAATCCCCAAGTGATATAGTTTCTGTTATTTGGTCCAATTCTTTTTGTGATTCTGTAGTGCCAGTTCACAAAGTTTGAAGATGGATGGTCCTTGCTAAGACCTACAGGATTTATTAGCTTGAATCTAAAGTGTTAAATGTTTCAGTTTTTACTTGTTCATTTGTAAACATTAATCAAAGATTAAAAAAACAAAGATCACCCAAGAGATGGGCAGAATGTAAATGTTTGTAAATTTAGTAACATTTAAAAGAATTCGGGTCTTTGTGTTCATTTTTTTTCCTCACAGATTATTCTCTAAGTGTTTTTTTTTTTTTTTTTCATACATCCTGTGTTTCCATTCTTTGCCAATCATTTATCTTATTATTCACACTGATTTGATATATTTCTTTTTACTTTCATTTCTCAGGTTCATATCAAAGACTTACTGACTCAAACGTGCCATATCGATGCAGATGAAAATGCTGAAATCATTGTTTATGATCAGTGCACAGAGGAGGCGTCCCAGCTGACCGGGGACAATTTCTTGGTTGTATTACTACACAAACTTTCCTCGGCCTTCAAGAGTGTTACACTTCTAAAAGGTAAACAAAAAAATCATCTTTGAATTTACTCCAAAAGGACAGTCATGTTTGCTATATAATATCAATATTTGTGACTGAACTTGTGAACAAAATCATAGTCAGTAACTGAATTACAAAATCAAATAAAACTTCTTCATTACACATGTCAACTCTAGAAGAGACTTCTTCAGACTAATATTTTTATCGTTGGGGGGGGGTCTCTTATATCTGGGTAGAGGAAAGAAATACAACACCGGCAACAATTTTGCATTGAGAATATTGATGATACATGTATGCTTAAATTTAACTTAAATGTTTTATATTTATTTTTGGTCTTCTGTGTATGGAAATGCATAACTTAGCGGACGTCATTCAGATTTTTATAGCTTTGGTTTTTTTTATTGCTCTTGTTTTAAATATCGAACATTGGAAGTAGCAATAGTTTTGTGAGGAAAGGTGATAAATTGTATAACTCTGAATGTAAATTTACTATGGAAAATTCTGAAATTAGTTCACTTTCTATATATTTTTATTCTAATAAGTTAGTTTTTCCTTTAAGTAAAACTACATTCTTTAAGTGAAAATTATGGTCAGGCCTATTATAATAAATGTTGTCATTGTTGGCTTTATCTCGTATCCAAGAATTTAATTTCTTCTTTGCTGATCACTTCCTTTATGATAATGATGGTGTTGATGACTAAGTTCGCCACCAATGTGCAGGTTCAGGACTAGAAGCTTCCAGTTTCACTAAAGCCTGCTTCTGTCAGCCATTCCCTATCACCGTTTGGTTTTGCAAGTTGGTTGGGGGGTGAAAGAAAATCTGAGTAGAAGAAAGTGCCAGGAAGTGACCCACACATTTGATTTCATGACCTTCCTCTGCAGCACACATGGAATAAGACAGGCAGAATCCAGTTATGAAACTGCAACAGACTCCCGCTTACTCTGCTATAATTTTGAGTGACACCTTCTGTAACATGTCAGTCATGCATAGCCCTCTTCATCTGCTGGTTAAACACATTGAAAATATTGTTTTGTAAAAAAATCCCTTTTTTTTTTTTATTCATATGCACTTTTATGTAAATTCCTACATGTTTTACCCATGTATTTCTTGGGACATCTTTTACAGTCTGTGAATTCTTCTTTAAGGTGGTTGTTATTTTGTTTAGTGTTAATCAATTTTCTTTCTGATGAAATATGGAGGGAATGTGAGTGGTTTGCTACTACATAAGTGGCATGGTGTGCCCTTGCTGTGAAGGTTTCAATTGGTGGGCCCAGGGAATTTAGTTCGTTCAAGCACTTTCCATAGAAGTAGCAATAGAGCAGCAAGAGGCTTACCACATTCCACATGTGGGAGAGAGGTTGGAGGGTAGAGAATAATTTGTCACCCACAAAGGATTGGTTGTTAGCAATATAACTAAGAGGTGGAGGCAAAGTACCAAAAACAAACCTTCCCAGTACAAAACCTGTAAAAAAGAAACAGACCCCTACCATAACATAAACCAGGCTAATAGAATTAAGAAACCCGAAGTGGGAAACCAACTAAGATAGAGCTGTAATAAGTTTTGTGTTGGAATATTTTTTTAACAAATAAATAAATTGTTCTTCTCCATATTGTGGTCTCTAAGGTTAATGCAAGGTGATCGGTGCTCTATCAGAATAGACTTGCTAATATACACAATACACAAATAAGTTGCTGAAATAGTCTTGGCCTAAAATGTAACCAGACCTCAGGTTTTTCTGTAGTTGTGGTGGGAGCAAGAATTTTACAACAAGCTCATATAGTTTTCTTTTTTTTTTTCTTTTTCTTTTTTCTAATTTTTTTTTTTTAGTAGGGGGGTAGTAACATGTTATAATTAGCCTAATACCTGAAATAGAACAAGGAATCTCCGTACTTTCAGACTTTACTAAGAGCTTTAAGTGCACTTATGTCTCATTCTGCAATCTGAAATATGATTGGTATCATGACTCATCTAGAGAGAGTGATTGATTATTAATGTTAGTACAAACATCATTCAAGCCCATGAGTAGACACTCTGAACCTTCAAAATGTAGCCAATCCTCTTAAGTATTTGCAAAATCTCCAAAGAAGTAAATACCTGCAATCTGAAAATCCCTGAGAAAATTCATTGGGCTAAGCCACTAAACCCGGTTCATGGAGCACTGTTTGAAGCACAAGTTCACTGTCCGTAGTTTATGAAACTAACATGCTTACATGACTCTGAAAATTAAAAAAAAAAAATTGTTTTTTCAAGGAATATAATAACTACCCACCCAATATAATTTTAATTAGATGTTTAATAATGTTCAATAAACTGAAAACAAATGGTAATTACTTAATTTGCTTTAAAAAATCACTTTCATCGATTCTTCACTTGGTAGAAAACGGAAACACTGATTTTTATTTCTTTTGTTTTTGCTTCCGATGATCTCTTGTGGGCTAGGCTGAGTTTGTCCAGAACTAAGTGCACAGATTGTATATTATCAAGATTGGTTGCAGCAGGGCGGGTTGGCAGTGTGAGTCATGCAACAAGTGCACGGGTTGACCAGTGAACTACTGGTTTTGTGTATTTGCATGTGATGACGCATTTAACCCAGGCTCCAGCACGACACATTTGTCCCTGCATGCTCTCTCTCTTTTTTTTTTTTTTTTTTTTTACTAATCTGATTTGCATATATATATATATATATATATATATATATATATATATATATATATACTTGTATAGAAGGGGCTGATGAATACTTCTCAGCTCAACCCACTTACAAAAATCTGACCAAATAATCAATGAGATTTTTTTTTTTAATCATTTCATTCCAAGCAAGGCAATAAAGCCACTAAGATAGAAGGGGTTACTGTGTGTGGAAGAATGTGAGGAAAAGAAAAACATTATTAAAGAGAGAGAGAACAGTGAAAGAAAAGAAAATAGAAGATAACAATTGACATTACATTTAAATTTTTGAAGATAAAAGTTGACTGGGAAGCAAGAAGCTGGAAGAGAGTTCCACAAGTGAGAAGTGTGAGAGAACAAACTGTTAGCATAGAATTTATGGTTACATCTAACCATTTCAAATGTAAAATGATTAGGCTTAACCAACTGCCAATATAGTTCAGTTCTTAAATTCGTAAAGTCAAGGAACCAAAGAGGAAAAATTACAATGAAAATATTTAAAGAAAAGACACAGGGAAGCTACATTATGGCAATGGGAAGATGAGTAAAGCTGAGATGCCAGGTCAGAACTGATAACATTGCAGATTATTCTTTATATTTTATCATGAATCTCTAAATACATAGAAGCATCAGACCAGATGTGGCAGCAGTATTCAATGCATAGACAAATAGTAGACTTACAATTTTGGTTGAGCATAGAACTTCCCAGTATAGTTTCATATATATATATATATATATATATATATGTATATATAAAATAGATAGGTTAGTTAATAAAACAAGGACAAACGAAAGGGTGCGAATATAATCAGTACGATAAACATTTAATAAATATTAATTGTTCACCATATGACAGAAATGAATCATGGAGAGAAAGGTTTTAAGTTCGGAATTTTTGGACATGCCTGTGTCCTTCATCAACAGACCAAAGAATAAACAGAGAAATGGGAATTATTCACTGACAGATGTTTTTGTAGATGGGGTATTTTCTATATTTTTTAATATGTATGTATGTGTGTGTGTGTGTGTGTATGTATATATATATATATATATATATATATATATATATATATATATATATAGCACATTTCTCTCATCCTTTAACATCAATACATGGAAGGTTATTCATGAGTATGAATGGATTTTATTAAAAATTAGCAGACATAATGCCTGTAATTTATTCAATCAGACATGCCTAAAATATATATATGTATGTATGTGTCCAATAAAGAAATGTATATGGTGATTTTCTAAGTGTAGCTTAGATATGGCACAAGGCTTAAAGTATGAGACACCTAGTGAGGATCAAACTCACTCTTCAGTCATAATTGATCTAGTTAGACAAGCTTGCTAACCATTACATCACATCGAAGTGCCCATAAAGAAAATATATATATATATATATATATGAATCCAGATCATTATCGGTAGGAAAGTTATTGAAGGAATAGAGCTTTATGGCATACCAGCTTTTTTGACCAAAGGAGCAGGAATCAGATGGAATTGTTATTATGTGAACATGTATATCTGATAAATAAAAACTTATCACCATGGCAATTGCAATTACTTGGCCCACACACTTTCCTTTCCTAAGTTTTTTTTGTTCCAAATTTTATTAGCAGTTTTTTTTTTGTTTTTTTTTTAATCATTTTGGTGCCAGTTTTTATCACTGATGTAATAAAATCATAGTATAGCTTTTCCAGTCAAACCAAAAAGAAACTATTTCAGTTAAGATTTTAAGATGATGATCAGACCAATTTTTGGCACATGAATCTGTATAAGCAAAATCATAAATGCCAACTGTACTAAGTGGCTACTGAAAAACTTTCTGAGAGTCGGACAACCAAGAAAAATGATCTTTAGTCGGGAACCATATATGTTACATCTCTGATTAAATCCACAGTATATATGTATACTAACCATGTGAACCCTCAGGCCACACTATTGCCATGCTAAGTGTTGCTATTGTGGATTTTGATGCAAGTAGGTTTTTACAAGATAGAATTACTAGTTTCATATCCAACTGGTTTTGAAACGAGAGTTGTCCTTCTTCTAGACTGGTTGCCAAACAAAGCTAGATAGGTCAGTCTACCTTGTAATTCACCTCTAGATGGGAAGAGATGGATTCATACCTTTCCAAATGTATTTGTGTGAAAGCAATGCCAATCCCACTTTCTGTACTGGTAATTGCTACACTACGCGCACACACTATATATATAAAATGTGATTAATAAATATGCATGACAATAATCTAGTTGTATAAATGTCTGTTTTCTCATGACTTATTCCTCTTCATGACTCATATCTTTTCATATTTGTCGGCACATCTTATAGACAAGAAAATGATTTCAT